GGACGGAGGCTGGCTTCAACTCCTCAGAGTACCCATGCATACAGGTGGTGGTAGTGGAAGAGCTGGAAGCATCTACTGCACAAAGTATGACATTACACCACACAATTTGTCCGCCTTAAACGCTGCAATCCTGTCCCTCTGATCATTTTGTGTCACTGCTGCCTCACACATCATGACTCACTGGATAGCTGCCAGTTTGATATTAATTAATGAAAGGGGACACAGTCAATTGCCCTTAATCATTTCTCTGTACCCTAAGTGATTAATGGATGTGTCATCAACAGCTCTGTTGTCATCAAGAGAATAATTTACGTCTGTCAATTAGGGGTCAGGGAGATGCTTGACTACTCTAGTCCTGAACACTGTCAAATGTCATTGTTGCTGAAGTCATTCAAATAATTAATCGGGTCCACATGTGATGGCCAAACAGGGGATTATGGAGAAATCTGTAGATCTTTGTGTGACATCTTGACAGCGCCAACAACAGAGCCCAACAGTATACGTACACTCAAGGCTTCCTTCAGTCAATGCGGCATTATTGATCACTTGTCACTGGAAGGAAGGAACATGGCAAGGAAATCAATTACACGTATGCAGTGTATAATCAAATTTCTGAAAAGGTGCTTAGCTAAGGGAAATGTTCAACTGACACATAAGCTCTACGGGGAAATATCATTGCAGTATTGAACACTATTCATATGAACTGAGAGCGAAGGATGTCCAGAGAGAGAGGAAGAGAACACTCCAGCAGTGTAGGTAATGATCTGAGGGATAATAAGGGATACATAATTTAATATCTCTACGTATTCATTTAAGACCAGGGAGTGGGGAAATCATTACATATTGATAGCTAATAGATAAGATGGGTTATGATTACTTGGGAGGGAAAAGGTGTGTGGACTGGGTTTATTGCTAACTGTTGACTGTGTCACACTGTTCAAGAAAAAGGGTCAGGCCGTCTTCTTGTCTTCTGTGGATCAGGTTTCTTGCTGTGGGTTAAATGGAGCATCTAAAATGTTTGTTTGTAATTACCTTTTGAGGTTTTAGGTGTTTTATTGTAATGGGTATGTGGGGGGTGGGAGGAGATTTGTTGTGCTGTGTTTCAAAAGGAAGCTAAATTAAAAAAAAATTCTATCCATTTTTTAAAAAATTCTTCACATGCTGCCAAGTAAAATCCCAGGCTTTAGTGTGCATTTGCAGTCAGAGGCAAGATAACATTCATGGTCATTTCACTAAATGAAACTATACCCATGGCAAATTGTGCACCTAACATAATTTCCCACTGAGGCTGATGTGATTTCTCAGATATGAGATAAAGGTTATGTCTTGTATGTGTGTGTGTGTGTGTGTGTGTGTGTGTGTGTGTGTGTCTGTGTGTGTGTGTGTGTGTGTGTGTTTGTACTGTAGCCTAATGTTATGATGTCTCATAATGACATGAAACATCTACATACATCTAAAATCACCTCTCTTTTGCGTCCACGCTTTGGCGGAACGATACGAGCTGGCTTCCGTTAGTTTAATTTGAAGTATAATCTGCCACCCAGTTGCAGTGAGGTTTTCACCTCTAGGATGTGGTGCAGCCCGTGCGCACCCCTGTGCTCCTCCTTATGTAGTATACAGCGGGACACTCCGTACTTCGCATCTCCAGTTCCTTCCCGTTGCCTTTTACGCGCTCGACGTCTGCAGTACAGTGATGTGAGCCCGTCTTCTCCGCACGCCACAAGCTTGTCTTGGATGAAGGCAGGACTCTTTTGCCAGTGTTCCGATGGCGAAACAGCGCTGGTTGTGTCCCGTGATCATTTGTAGAGGACCACATCCAAGCCTTTCCCCCCTTCTTTTCTTGACTAATTTTAATCAAAATGTGGGACGCGCGTTCTCTGCGCGGCGCCCGCGGAGTGCTCTCTTCGGTCGTGGCCGCTTGACTGAAGGGAGATCCCGGCTCCCTTTCCCTCCTCTACTCCCGTAGGAACAAGAGGAGTTTGCATGCAAACGGTGGTTTATCTCGGCAAGGTGAGAGAGACTATTTTTCTGTGACTTTAAAAAAAATTTGGATGCCAGTTTAAACAGAGTCAAAACAGAATCGTGCGTTGGCAGCACAGTTTGTGTGAACTGATTTACATAGAAGGTTTTAGATTTTGAAAATCTTTACAGAACACAAAATACGTTGTAGTGTAACAGGTATGCAGTGTTTCTGAATTTATGGGACTGCAGCACAAGTCAAGACATACAGATTACCAACGTGAAGCTGCTTTTCAACCCGTCATTTACACATAAGATTCCATTTGGATTGTAATATTGGCTGCTTTGTGATAAATGCATAAATAATCTGGCAGTGGCAAATGTACTAAAATGCTGCATTCAGGAACATCTGCTTATCTCAATTCTGTACTCAAATACAGCTTGTTCCCAATAAAAAATGTTAACTTGCTTTCATTGATTATTAAAGGCTCTCATATTTACAACTTTTTATGTAATTGTAAGGACTTATCCAAATGTAAGGGCATTTTAATCATTGCCTTAAAATTATGCCTTAATTTTGCCTTTTTTTGTGTGCAAGGACTTATATTTCTGAGAAATTGTGATATAATGACCAAACATGGCAGGGGAAAATATATATGAAAATGACAAGCCAAATTATTTTCCAGAAATTGCTGTCACACACGCCTCCTCCATCCTAATAGTAAAGAACATCAATGGATTTCAAGGCTTCTTTCACCCCATTTGTTTCCTGACCTGCCACTGAGTCCCATTTTGACCGACAGAGCTGCATAGCTCCAGCAGAGTTCATTGCCTCACTCCGGCTCCGGCCATAACAGTGTAGGAGCGGAGTGCAAACCAAAGCAGCCATATTGACTGTTGAAACAAAATCATTGATTCTGCCTAACACCTTCTTAGAAATGTGATGAGAGGAATCAATAATACTGAGCACTGTTACTATTTTTTACTGACTATATTAAAGTACCAGGTGATCGTGTCCTCATGCTGCTTGAAAAGAGAAGATTTTTTTTTTGGTTTCTTGCAATATGCTTAACACCAAGCATGAAGAGGGTGTAATACATCAAGTCTTTGATTAACTTTTTAGTCATTTATTGTACATCTCACAAACTGTCTCTCTTGTTTTCTCAGCCATGGAAGGACTTCCCTAAAGAGGATCCAACATAATTCAAACGTTTTTGGACTTTTTTTTTCTATTTTCCTGGGGGGGGGTTGTTTCAATAAGTCTCCTTTTCCATCACCATGGCTGAGAAGCTTGGACCAGCAGGGCTCAAGGCCACCAACATTCGAACCTCTCCCTCCCTACCTCCCGAGCCCATCGACATCATCCGCACCAAAGCCCGCTCCCGCAGAGTTCGCCTTAATGTCGGGGGTCTGAACCACGAGGTCTTGTGGCGGACCCTGGACCGGCTACCCAGGACCCGGCTCGGCAAGCTTCGAGACTGCAACACCCACGAGTCCCTGATGGAAGTTTGCGACGACTACAGCCTGAACGAAAATGAATACTTCTTTGACCGGCACCCGGGGGCATTCACCTCCATACTGAACTTTTACCGCACAGGCAAGCTACACATGATGGAGGATGTGTGCTCTTTCATTTGGCCAGGAGTTAGACTACTGGGGGATTGACGAGATCTACCTTGAGTCCTGTTGCCAGGCCCGTTACCACCAGAAAAAGAGCAGATGAATGAGGAGCTGCGGAGGGAGGCAGAGACAATGAGGGAGAGGGAGGGAGAGGGAGAGTTTGATAACACCTGCTGCCCAGACAAGAGGAAGAAGCTGTGGGATCTCCTGGAGAAGCCCAGCTCCTCAGTGGCTGCCAAGGTAGGGAACCGAAAGTGGACGTGTGCTCACCCTGCCCCCATCTCACATTTCCTGATCACATTCAAAGCCAAACACTCTGCCTGGATCATAACACATTACAAGCACACTTATTAAAGCCTACTCCTACCTGTAAAAAATGATCACAAGTTATCGATTTGAAATCTTGAACAGGCGCGTACTGTACTCTCATCATGTTTTCTTGTGCCATCTGCCTGTTTCCATCTTTGTAAGTGGCAACAGTTGTTCGGGTTGAATTAAATATACAGGAAGCGGCAGTATTTGGGTAAAAAATTGCAAGGCTGTAATGGAAGAAAAGAAGCAGTAGATGAGGAGTGGAAGTATATGTGTGATGTGCAGGCAAACTTCATTGTACAAACTTCATTCAAGTAAAATTTATAGTTGAAATCACAGCAGGTGCTACATTTAGACTTCATTTGCTTTGACAAAGTAATTGGTAAGTGCGCCAGCTTCTAGTGTTGCTTTCTTTGCAGGGATAAAGTATGTCAGTGTAGACCAGATCTGTCAGTGACTTGTGACACGGCACATCTCTTGGAGGGATCGGTACAAGTCCCCGCTCTATTACGTGTCAGTCTTGCTCCCTGATTGCATGTGCTCGTTTCTGGATCTGGCTCAGTTAGTCAGCGAAATGACAGGACGATGTCAAAAGTTTGCTGCAGGTGTGTCGATGGGTGCTCTTGTTCCTAGAGCCGTTTACTTTGAGCACATTTAATCTGTTCAAGAAAAACAGGCAGTCATCAGTGCTTCTCCCTTCCCCCTCCCACGTGTTCAGAATGCTGCTGCACCAGTCACGTGCAGGTTTTATTCGTACATGATGAATCATACAGGAATCAAACTACTGTGTAGTAATGTCACGGCTGTCCCTGGTAAAAATGATGACGCCTCTTTCAACTCCTCCCCATTCCATCCCCGCCCTGAGTCCTCAATTAGGTAGGTCAGCCTCAATGAAATCCAATCACTGGTAATTTACCTTTGGTCTCCAGTATCCTGATCTCATCATTGGTCAGTGCAGGGCAGGGCTGGCTGGGATTATATTCCATGTCAGAGGATCATAAACACAGCGTCCTGTGTGTGTGTGCGTGTGTGTGTGTGCGTGTGTGTGATACCAGAGCAAACGTCATCCCCTCAGTGTGAGTAACGAAGCTCCTGATGTGCTGTATGTCCCATGTGGTGCATTTTGCCTCTCCCCTATGAAGCGAAGAATGGTTCCCTTTGGCTGCGACAGTTTGGAAATAATGCTAGCTAGAGTCAATTTCAGACCGCCGGCGCCTTGCGTTGAATTTATTGTGCAGTATTCAGCTTTAAAAATGGTAGAGATATGGTAATGACCCTGAATAAGCAGGGCTCAGATCCTTCAATGGGCCTACAATACATGCACTTTCTTCCTGCTTTCTTCCTGCGTGGCTTGTATTCCCCCAAATCAACTAGTGATTTGTGATTGACAAGGATCCCGTGTCAGCTTAATAATTGTATTCAGCCTCCATGGGGAACCTGCATAGCACAAGAATCAATTATAAGGAGGTTGCCAATTCAAGGCAAAACTCAGGTGACAGCAGTGGGGTAATTTGATATGCTGTGAGATATTTAAAGTGATTTACCTTCTGAATACAGCCACTCATTCTCCAGACACATCTCCAGATTGCTGACCTGTTCACTATTATGCGGGGGAAGCCTGTGAAACCTTGTAGGGAAATCCCACCCTTATTCAAATTGCATTGACATTCTGCTGAGTGCTCTACGAGGAGAACTTGAACGTGAGTCTAATGGCTCAGCCCTGTGATCGCACTCGGGTTATCCACAGCTGAGAGTACATTTGGAAAAAGACTGCCGGGGCTGCCGTCGGATGCAGCTCCCTGAGGTCAGGGAAGCCTTTTATGGGGCACGCACCGTGCAGTGAGAACCCTTGAAAGCCCTTGACCAAGGAAATGCCATTACTAGGCTGGTACACAGCCGTGTGCTTTTATACAAAGCAACCTGAGCCCTTTGTCAAATGCAATCACAGAGTCTTCTGGCATACACATATTCTCTCTCTCCCTCTCTGTCTCCTTTTCTCTCACTCCCTTCCTTTTTCTCTTACACTGCCTTAATCAGATATGAGAACCCAGTGTGCTGCTTGGCACCTATGGCCCTCTCTGCCCTTAAATAAAGGTTAAGCAAGAGAGGAATGACCTTTTCAGCAGGGTCAATCAAGCTAGGATTAAATTAATCAGCAATAACAGCAGTGAATGCTTTTGGGAGTAAGGGCAAGCCTTGCAGAATGGAAAAGATGGAAACGAAGCAGACATTGCACCAAGAAAAAATGGTCAAAGAAAGCAGCAGAGAAGTCATAAGTGAAGGGAGAGAGGTGTCAGAAAAGACAGTGGCTAGATGAACCCTGAGAGATAGAATCATGTAAGTTACGCCTCAGGATGCTGAGCTAGACCTTGCAAACCTTTTCCAATGAATATGAATTCAGTGGTCAAAACAAAGAGGACACTGGCTAATGCAGTGGCTTCTCTGTGTTACCACATGACTTTTGGTTGAGTGACCCATCGTGTGAGGAGGAGGAGGGGCAGGACATGCTCAGCATGTCACAAATGCGAAAAGTTCATGTCACAACAAGATGTTCGCAAACCCTCGATACTGTAAATGTACACCTACGGCGACCCTTAGTTGAACTGCCATCCCGCATGTGTTTTGGAAATGTTATTGAAAACAGAATTACAAAATTGCAGAGGCTGATCGCCCCAAACAAAAAGATTAAAGTCACATCTGTCAACAGCTTGGATGCCTCTTTCTTAAGTGCTCTGTTCTGATTGTGTGTCTCCACAGCTTATAGCCACTGGTCAAAGATTGTCATGTGCTATTAAGTTATATAAGCATATAGTGGCAATCATATTTAGAACAAAATATCAGATGGATGTTTCCTTACTGTAGGCTATAATTTCTATTAATCCAGTAGAACGTGTCATCCTTGATATTGAGCCAGAAGGATTTGTGCTTCCCTGACCCTCTTCTGTTTACAATGAGTCATGAGTGTTGTTGTGCAGCAAATACACTTAGCACAAGCTCATACAAGGAAGCCATATCCAAATTGCTGGATTGCTGTAAGGAGACTGAATTACAGTGGCTTTTATTTTTCACTGTGTAAATGCGCCATTACCAACCATCATTCCTGCATAAACTTGTAAATGTAGTTTGTAACCTGACAATGTTTTTTCCACTGGAAGTGTCTTTTGTCAGCGTGACGGGAAATGCAATTAGATGCCTCAGATGCATTTCTTTCTGTGTTCAGAAAAGCACGGCCATATGCAGAGAGTGTGTGATAAATATCAGAACCTCACCAAATGTTTGCTACGCAACTTGTGATTTAGTGAGAGTTTCAACATTAACATATGAGTCAGGCTGTTTCCTGGTATCGTAAATGAATGCTATTAGTTGTTCCATGGATGCCCACCGTGCTCAGTTTTAATATATGTATAGTAAGTTTGTAAGAGCAGTAAATCTTTTTATTTTTAATTTCTGCCCATGCAAAGCTTCAAGTTAAGCTTGTCAGAATATTAACAATACCATATGAATTATTAAAGCTGCATCACACTTAGAGACAAAACATTCCCCTGTTTAGGTTTTCTTCACTTTAGAGTCCATTTAGTCTGGGAAACCCTGGAAGATAATGGCTGCGGATTCAGAGCATTGCTTCCACTTGCCAGACACTGCAAGTTGTGTTTTCTTTCCCTGGCCCTCCTCTTCTCCCCACATCAGCCATGTCCAGCTTTGTGCTTGCTCTAAATGTGTATGTGCGCCATTACTCTTTCCCTTATCTAATAATCTAGTCTAGCTAGTGGGAATGCTAAGCAATGGGTCTGTATGGGCGCAGACTTGTGCTGTTTGGCCCTCCCGCATGGGAGCAGCCAAAATCAGTCCAGCACAGACACTGTTGTTGATGATGATGACACAATGTGAGGAAGCTGTAGCATAATAAGGTACTGTAACAGACACATTTTTTCATATTCATCTGTCTCAGTGCAGTCAAAGGCACACTGCTGATTTTGTAGCAAATTCAATTAGCACACTGTCTTTAACTCCACAGCAGTAGGAGCTGCCTGTTGTTTCAGATCACCACAGACAGCCTCTTACTCTCCATCTGTCAGTTCCCTTACAGGCTTTTACAGCACTGATGCAAGCATTCGGCCATTTGTGTGTATTGATGTAGTTTCTGATAGTGGGAGAGAAAAGAAGGGATGTGGGGATAGGGTAATTGAGGGAGAGGCCTTTAGTCAGCATTAAGTCAGTCTACAATATGTGCCCATGGGTCAAATTTAAGCAGAAGGTCCGCCGCCTTGAGTTTCATTATCATCCTTTCATCTCTGCATGGGAGTCTTCAGACGGTTAAATCAGTAGGCATTGGGGGAAGAAATGTTCTCAGCTGTTAGTTTAGTTGCTTTTTCCTTATTTGTAAAAAGCCTGCACACTGATTGCTGACCTTGGCTGCTGAAATCAGATTTTGATGCTTGTGGGTCTATAGTTATGTTCATAAGCCTATCTCGTCTCGTGTATTTCTCTCAAGATGATGATCTTATTTGGCCTTTAGAAGTTCATCAGGATGTATTACAGGAGAGAAGTTTGTCATTTAGGCACACCTTCTCCCTCCTGCAGTCTCAGGAGGGAGAAGTCCTCAGTTACATAAGCTTTCCACCAGGCCTCTAATCAGTACAGCCGAGCATTTAGGCACCAGCACCTAAATCCTCTTTACCCCGCAATCATAATCAGATAAGAGTGAACCTCCTAGATTATAGGTGGCTTGAGTC